GTTCAGAATTATTGCAAACAAATCTTTAAATTACCCCAACTTTAAGAACAAAGGATAATATCTGACTGGGTTGATGAGCTAATGACAAGTCACAGCGGGGACAGTCACCAAGTAGATTTTTCTGAATATAATATGACTTTTTTCCTTAAGTTATGGTTGATACCAAACATGTGTGCTGGTGTAAATGCTTGTGTGTGTGTGTGCGTGTGTGTGTGTGTGTGTGTGTGTGTGTGTGTGTGTGTGTGTGTGTGTGTGCTCTGTCTTCTCGATCCCCAGTGAGTCGTGGAGGATGGCTGCTTATACTGAGCCAGGATTCTCTGGAGGTTTCTTCCTGTTAAAAAGGAGTTTTCCTCTCCACTGTCGCTTTATGCTTGCTTAGTACGAGGATTGCATCAAGTCACTGACACTGGGTTCCTTATATAGGAAACATTATTTCCGATTGGCTTAATGAACTGACCTGAATTGGAATGTTTATTATGTCAAGTGCCTTGAGACGACTCTTGTCGTGATTTGGCGCTATATAAATAAACTTGAATTGAATGTTCATGAAGTTTTTGTACAAAACCCCTCTCACATAAAACTATTTCAACTGGTCTGCTCTTGACATTTTCAGCATCTTCCAGAATGAGCAATTTCAGGGCTCTGTCACTTTAAGAAAACATGCTGGAGCTGGACACTTCCACTCTTCCATGCTTATTGCTAAGAAGTTCCCATACCTCGGGAGGGGCTTGAGGCAGAGCCACTGCTCCTTAAGCAGCAGCTCTCTCTTCCACTTGAAAAGTAGTTCTGTTTTACTTTCCTTGTTTGTGATGTCACAAATGGAGACTTTTTCAAACAGCTTGTTTTAGGCACATAATTCCTAAAACAAAACACTGATAGGGATGGATTTTTTTTCATGTTTGGAGTTTTTTATAGAGGCAGTAGAGACCCAGATGGCAGCACAAAAGATAGACTAATTGAGTTTTGCATAATATGTCCCCTTTAAATCATAAAGTTTGGTGTTGCAGTCAGTTATATGCGTTGCACGGCTATTCTGCCAGAAAAATGTTTATTCTTCTGTTGGACCTGGCCCAGGCTGAACAGGAAGTTCTACAGCTGTTTTTACAAATAATTAGCTGTATTGCTTTTTAGCAGCAAATAAATGCATGTAAATATAGTTTGTAAATAAAATGGCATCCATTTGAGTAGCACCCTACAGCACCTGCCTCTGAGATTAGATTTTTTTTTCATTGAATGGCAATGTAACAAAGTGTCAATTTTCACTTATACATTGATCAACATGAGTTATCTACAGGTATAAATCCACTTTCTAGTTGGCCTTCTAAATCCAGAAGGTTCTGCTCAGCGCCTGTTGACATTCCATGAAGACAAAACATTCAAATAGACACTCCGTCCCAAGGTCCTACACTCTGCTTAGAAGCCAGACGTCAACATTCGTCACTCTGAATAAGTGAAGACTCCATGATTTTACAACTCGTAAGCTTACAATAATCATGTGTGATGAATGAACACGATGTTTAGATCAAATGTTTCAATGAATTTGAAATTAGTATTGCTCTTACAATGATCCATTTATATCACAAATCAGTATGTGTTTGATTTAACAAGTTAATCATTGTTTACACTCATACACATTACAATAAGATACATATTAAGGTTAACATGCACTTTACATAAGAGTTTTAAAGATTCTTGTTCACAGTGTTAAGAGTTTTGTATCTGAAGGAAGGTGTGGCTTTCTGAGGGATGTTGGTAAATACTCAGAAACGTGTCAAACTCTGAATGGCCAAACTTGGTCAGAAATCATAACAAACTAGTTTAATAAAACAAGAATTACTTCCCAAGTAATTTAATTTCCAGCTGACCCTTGAACCGGCCAAATCGGGAAGAAGCATGTTTGAAACTAACTCCTTTGACCTCCTGTCAAAAGACTTTCTGCGACGCTGCAAGCTGATACAGCCAGACAGCTCTTTCCAGAGCTACTTCACCTCTCAAACATCCACCTTAGATGCGAATAAGCATTCCAGCGTTCGACCTTCACCTCAAGGGATCGCAAACCGGACGGGTCTTATGGGAGCTATCGACGGGTTCCTGATATCAGAGGTTCACTCCACCGGCAGGGACCACCGACCCCTCGGATCGAACGAGAACCTCCACACCAAGGGTGCGTAGACTTGGCGCGACAGATTGCGTCTGATGCTGTTTTTAATAAACAACTCTCTAGTTTAGAACCAAACAACAAATTCTTTTACACCCAGATTTCACAATTTCTCTCAGATACAAAGAACGGTTGCTACAACTTCTAGCTTCCAT